TGACCACTAAATAACCATCCTTAGTCCATATAACAGATGGCAGGTAATTATGTTGGCTGCGTGTTTTGTCCTGGCAGTGTTGCCCTGATTACTGTTTTCCAAATATTCTCTCCATCCTGCTCTCCCACCCTCAGGCCCCTGTCTCTGAAGGGTTGAAAATGAGTCTTTAGTTGCTTTCATAATTCAGGCCCAAGCTGACCATGTTTGTGGAATTCTTACAGACAATAAATCCTTGGGACATGCTGGATCAAATAGCAGCTTAAATCCCATGTAGGGCAGCTTGAAATGGCTCTAGTAACAGATTACACTGACCAAGAATAGATACCTGGCAACCTGATGGGTCTTAGGGACTCAACCCAGCAATAGAGAGGGCCACTCACCTCCTTATTCCATCTCTGAAACCAGAAGCATAAGAATCCCCCACTCCCACACACAAATAACTAAGTCTGTGACCAATGAATCATGCACCACCACCTCTTCTGAGCACTATTCATAGAGCCATTTTGGTTCCGTTCAATTCACTGAAATTCAGTGATTATTTATTGAGCAACTCTCATGGCTAAGACTGCAGCAGCTGCTATGGGGGCAAGATGAGATGTGTTTGACATTGATCTTCAATGCTCTCTCGATCTATATCCTATCTCTACTCCCACTTCTTATGGGACCATAGGACTGCTTTTATCCTCAGATTCTAGTAGATAAATTGGGATAAAGGAGGGAGATTTCAGGAAACAGGAACAAGGGTGCAATGAGAAAGATTATATTCAGTTGAGTGTCTTAAATGAAAGTAGCTCTATAAAGAATAGTCTGGTTGTAAATTCAATTTTCCAAGACCCAATCCCTTAGAAATATTATCTGTAAATTTGCTGGCTTCAGAAACAGCCATCTTTCTGCCTGCATTCAGAGAGCTGGAGATAAAAAGGCTATTAATGGCCAACTTTCATTATTTTGGGATGTTTCTCTTCCCTCAACTTTGGTGCCAAGGGTCCACAGCTGTCAGAACAGAGTGAGAAGTGTGGGCACTGGTGAAGACCCATTCACGAAAGACAGGCAAGCAGGATTTTCCAGTGGCTACAGGAAAATGTTCACTGTGCTTTATATATGGGAGCTTACATATCCCTAGATGGGAGGGAACAGTAAATTTAAATTAATTTTGGCCAAGATTCCCAGAGTTCTATCTTACAGGAGCCTTTTCTTGAATCTCTGTGCATCTGGATTGTTTTGCATTCTGTATTGTAATAAAGGGGCCCCATACAAACCTTTTTTTTCCCGTCACAATCCCACCTTTCATTAACACACCCCTGCTGGATGTGCTTATTAAACATCTTCTAGGTTGTCTGCATTGTGGTACTGCTAGTTGTACGGTGGCCAGTCCCACACTCAGACACTGGTGGTATCACCTGCTCATTGCTGATCAGCAAGTTATTTAACTCTTCTGAACCTTAGTTTCGGTAACTGCAAGTCAGGAATGTTCCTATCATTTTGTGGCAGTTCAGTGAAGAATAAGATACCTCTGACAAGTCCTAGTGTTTGGTAGATACTCAATAATCTGAGTTTCTGCTTTCTTCCTTTCTTTAAATCTGAATTTCCTCATTGCAAACTGTAAATAAAATAACAGCTCTTTCATGGGGAGATCTTCAGGATTAAGTAAGCGAACGCATGTTAAAGTGTTCTCTAAACATTTGCCTGCATTAATGACTGCTATTATTATTCTAGTCCCCCTCAAAGTCATGCTAGGAGGCCATGACGCATGTCTCTGGAACACTTACCCATCATGCACGACGAAGCACCTGATACCTCAGTGCCCTCTGTGAGGACCCCAATGCTCCACTGCCCTCTGTAAGAACCCCGATGACTCAGGGCCCACTGTCAAGATCCCAATGGCCCAGTGTCCTCTGTGAGGACAACAATGCCCCAGGCCCTCCTAGCGGGTTCAACCTATCCCATATTCCATCTTCTAGCATGAGAACAGGGCAGTAAAAGACACTGCCTCACACTTTTCCATGTTTTAATGGTTTTTGAAAAGTACCAAATTATCCTTCTTGCCAACTCAGCCACACAAATGTATTGCTTTGGTCTTGTGTCACTGCTTTTCACCTCCCCGTCTTGGCTCCAAGACCTTCTGTACAATCCCTCTGTTCTAGCCCAGTTGGGTAGCCTTACTTCTCAGCAAGCCCTTCTTGTGCTCTTCCATCTTCGTACCTCTAGTACTGCATCCTGAAACACCAACTGGCTCCCCTTTTTTGTTCATGTCATTCATAATGGTTTTTCTTTAAAAAATATTTATTTATTTATCTATCTATTTATTTATTTATTTATTTATACAAGCACTGGGTACAGTCAGAAGCACGGGAGGGTGAGAGTATTCACCAGAGCCAGAGCGGGGAGCAGAACAGGCAGACTGACGAAATACACTGCTGAGGGGAGCAGTGGGCGAGGCAGGAGAGGTCTGCACACCATGTGGGACCCTCGCTGGTGGCGGGGGATCGAACTGGTGCTGCAGAGGCTGTGGGTAGCTTTCGTAGCCCAGCGCTCAACCACTGCGCCACCAGGGGAGGCCCCATAATGTTGTTAACTCAGCTTCTCTGTATTTTTGGTTTAAATCTTTGTATTCCCCACAACAACCAGCCCAAGGACACTGCATACAGTATGCACTCAATAAATATTTATTGGATGAATGATTAATTTCCTCCTCCATATTATATTTTTAAAAAAGACTTAATTGAGGGATTAGCAGTATGAGGCACTGTGCCAGGTACCCTACTGAAATAATTACATGAAGGATTCCTGCCCCTAAGTAGCTTAACATCTAAAACGGTTAAAAAGATACAAATACTCATTGAATGGGACATTAACCTGGAGTCTATTGACAAGCCTATTCCCCTATGAAACCTCTAAAATTATATGGAAAATGTTGCACATGTGTATGTTCTGTGACAGAGCCCTTAAGAGCAGGAGCAGGAGGGTAAGAAGCAGATGATCCTGGATTTTATTCTGGAGTCTGGATTCAATGAAGAACAGGAGAGTAGGGACAGTAGCAAAGCTAACTCTTGCGATTTTTATTTGAGCAACTGGGTGGATGTCCTGCCACCTACCAAGGGAGTGATAATTCAGTGGCCATTGTGTGTGCTTGGGGAGAGGGAAATTAACTGGTTAACAGCAAGAAAGCTCAAGATAGCTACATGTTTCCAAGCATAGATGGCTGGGAGCGGCTGGAGGTATAACTTCAAGCTCAGGGGAGAAGTCTGTGCTGGAGAGACACATTTGGGAACTGTCACTGCATAGGTGGTACTTAAAACCACTGGGTAAAATATAACCTGGGGGAGGAGCCCTGGGATATTCTGAAACATAGAGTATGAAGGAGGAAGATTCAGCCAAGGATACTGAGGCGGAGAAGTCACTGATTTCAGAGGACAGCTAGGCGTGTGAGGTATCCTGGAAGTCTCGAGAAGACAGTGTAGAGCCATGCAGTTTCTCTCCTGGGAATTGTATCACCTTAACATACAGACTTACTTGTCTGTCTCCCTAACTAGAGTAACTTCCAGTACAGGAGTCATGCCTTCTTTATCACGGAATTTCCAGAGTAGAGAATAAAACTGGTACATAATTTGCTCTTGTTCATTATCTAATAAATGTGCGTGGGGTGGGGGAAACTCATAGGCCAAGCAGGGGAATTAAATGCCCTCAAAGCAGAGATCTCTGTGGCTGAGATCAGCACTTCCTTAACATGCTTTGGTGGGGGTGGGTGGTTCAGGAGTGGTGTGTAGGAACGGCTATGCATGATGTGTCTCTGTACAGCAGAAGGCAGGACAATCGCATTGCTGTGTCAACGAGCTGGAGCCCTTGGTAGGACACTTAACCAACAATGTCATTTGTGCACAAGGGCACTTGGCTGGGGTGCAACTGCACTTCCACCTCCACCATCTGCTGACTGAATTCCCAGCCCACTGGCTCCAGTGTCACTTACCTCTTAATTACCAGCCTTGGCTCCTACCTGGCTCAAGGGACTGGCTTTGCTTCCCTGTTGCATTTTAAGCAGTGACCTGATGAAGCCCATTGATGGCTCCTGGCTGAGATCTCCTTTGGTCGACTGTAGGCAGCCCTTCTTCTGGGAGATGTCCTTAACTTGACCATTCATGGTTCAGAGCAGCCTGCCATCCTGGTGTCCTTGGCAACTCTGACCTAGTTCTGTCCACTTAGGGGCAATGCCCCACAGGATAAACTGGCAGTTAGAGGCTCTGAGGGTAGTGGGCAGAGACCAAAATCATTTAAGAGGGCAGTGGAGAGACTCCTGGGACCTTTGGCACAATCTCCCATTTGGTGAACTTTACAAGTCAGCATGACGTTGATGATCTGACTCTTGTAGCCAGTTCTGATACCTAGAAGAGTCTAGTGTAGTCAGTTGGTCTTACCCCAAATTATATCTGTTCCTGAGTTATCCTTTCTCTAAATAAGCTCAGTTGTTTTTTTTCTTTTTTCTTTCTCTTTTGGAGAAGAGACAGGTATGGATTTATGGCATTGATCTCAGAGATGAGAGGCTTCCCCAGCTGAGTTGACCATATTTGCGTCCTCTTAGATCCTTTTTCTTAAATACCAGTCAATAGAGAAAGCCCAAAATTTATCACTCTTTCTGAATCGAGTTGCTCCTATTTTAAGGGGATTTTAGTCTTTCCCTCCGTGTCAACTTCCCATGGCTTTGACAAGGGGGTACAATGTACAGATTTCTGAGTGTCATATTCTCGTTGAGAGTGAGAACAAATTTCTATGCGTATGAGAGCCCTGAAACGTGGATTTATACAACACATCTCTGTGAGCACTCAGGGGAACTGGGGATTTGTTGAGAAGCCAGCAGGAAAATGTTCATGTCGTTCTATTTCAAAGCATTTCCCATCGCATCTCATTTAATCTTTCCAATGATCCGAGGTGGGAAAGCTGGAAAGAGGAATCTCCTTCCCTTCCTTTTTACAGGTGGGAATTGAGACAGAAAAGGGGTGAGTTACCTGCTCAGCTGATGATCTCGAACGTGAAGTTTGGAAGAGTTCGTAGAGGTTGGAGAAGCCACATGGGGTATGTGATTCCTTGGTCACTCTTCTGGGATAAAGCTTGCAGAAAATGCACCGTCAGAGGGACTCGGTGAGATCTCTGCCTATTTGGTGCACATCAGAATCTCTAAAGTGGGAAAAAGAGTACTTCTTAGAAATACAGTCATTATATTTTCACATTTAGAAAATGCTTACCCTATAAACTGCTTAGCACAAGCCCTAATGAAATATTTTTCTTTTTTTAAAAGATTTATTTATTTATTTATACAAGCACTGTACAGTCAGAAGTGCGGGAGGGTGAGAGAATTCACCAGAGCCAGAGTGGGGAACAGAACAAGCAGACCGATGAAGTACACTGCTGAGGGGAGCAGCGGGCGTGGCAGCAGAGGTCTGCTCGCCACGTGGGACCCTTGCTGGTGGCCGGGGATCAAACTGGCGCTGCAGAGGCTTTGGGCAGCTTCACAGACCAGCGCTCAACCACTGCACCACCGGGGAGGCCCCCTAATGAAATCTTGACTGATGAAATATGGGTGCAAAAGTGTTAAATTTTTAAAATATATCTTTTGTCCTCTTGACTGAATCCCTGTGGTCTCTGGAGCTGGGATAGCCATGCAGGACTCAGCCACCATCACACCACATCCCAACAGGGGGTGGAGTCAGAAGTAAATCTGGAAGAATCAGCTGCAGTCTGAGCTCTTATTTACCAACTGGCGGTACCGTTAGCTACTGGCTGGTGGAGTATGCTAGAACCAGTGTTCAGAGAAGGAATGGACACAGGGCTAACATGCCTGAACATGGATTCTGAAGGCAGAGGGTGCAATGAAAGGTTTTAAAACAAGGAAAAGATCAGATTTGCAATCAAGTCAGAAACAACACAGGTCTTGAGTGTGAAGATCTGGAAGAGGAGGACAAAAAGCTTTGGATTTTCAGAGACGGGGTGGTTAGGATTCATCAAAGAACCATGGAACATTCAGGCAGGGGCCACACTGGCTGGGGATGTAGCAGGAGGACTGAGTATGGTTTGCAACAAGATGGTGGAATTTGCCTGGCCCACTGGAGTGGATGTCATGGGGGTGGGGAAGAGCATCATGGGAGGGATTTTAAAGTCAGGCCCATGAGTTCAATTTGATTTAGTAGGAAGGAAAGAGACATCAACTGCTTTGAAGACACAGCTGAGGAATGTGTTAAGAGGTGCCTCTTTGCCCTTCACTGTCCCTGGCCTGACTCTAGTCAGGACCCAACACACCTGGCATTTCAAAGCCTGGGGCATTTTCAAAGTAAACCCGAAAGGCTCGTTGTCATTCTTTCAAAAGCTCTCCTCTGCCCTATAAGCAATAAAATAATTGAAGTCAGGTTGTTGTTTTTTTTTTTCTTTCTTTTTCTTTTTTTATTTTTACAAGGGCCATTACAAAGGTGTGAAATATTAGACACTTACGCATCTGTGAATAAGATTGTAGGCTAAAACGTGTGAGTTCCCGTCTCAGCTAATGAAGCAGAATATGGTTTTAATTTTTGAACTGCAAAAATGTTCTGCCTTTTTGGTCGTCCCTACAGAAGACTTCATATTTTAATAATTCAGTGCAGCCTAATTACTTTAATTAATCACCTTCTTTTCAGAGATGTCAGTGGGCTTCGTTATTTTCTTGTTACTGTAGGTACTGTTGGGAGTTTTAAGGAATTAAAAAAAAAATCTAAGTAATAGTCCAAGTTAACTCTTTCATGAGGTACCCCTTTCCCTTAGAGCTCCCTGTGGCTTCCATGTGGGTGGAGTAGGTTATACACACAGCCTCTTCCTTTCTGTCACATTTCCTCCCTCTGTTAACAAAACTACTTCTGGTCATTCTAGGTCTTCAGAACTGCTGTCTGGAGACTAAAGTAAAATGCTATTTAGAGCAAGTCAATATTTTTGCATCTTTCTGAGTCATGATGAACACACTAGGCATGACAATAGCTTTTATTGTACGATTGATATAATTTGCCTCCCATGCAGGGAAACAGAAATTAGCTGACAGTTCACGCAGTGGCAATGAACATGTGCTCATTTCTAAAGTTTGTGGGTGGAAGGTCCTTTCCTGATCAGAATGGTGCTGTCTCCTCGTGGTTCCTGAGCCAGGCTGACTGGGTGTCATGAAGGAGATCTCTTAATTTGGGGGCCTTTGCTAGGTCTTTGCACAAGCAAGGAATGACAATGCTTTTATACAGAGTTAATAATATGTAAGTTGGATATTTCAAGGCTTGATTAATTAGAGTCCAGCCTTGAATATGACCTGCATTGCTTAAATGACAGAGATCTAATGTTAATTGTTCAACTCACCCCACATTTCTCTCTCTCTCTTTCCATGAAAGAGAGCTCAGATCTCAGGATTTTTACCCATTTTCCCAGTAAATGTAACAGTGCCCCGAAATGATCAATGCACTGAGATATGAGGAGAGAAGAAGCCATCCAATCTCTTTTCTTCTTTTTCTGGAACTCTTTCGTCGCCCTTGGTGGCTGCTTGGTACCGTTGTCCCCAGGGTGGAATGGCTGCCTGCAACATCATTTCCATGCATTTTACATTCCCCGCACTAGTCTCTGGAGCCTCCGTTTGGTTTAGGTAGGGGAGCTTTGCAAGCAGTCTGAGGTTTTATGAGAACGAGAACAAAGTAAGGTTTGAGTGGAGACCTTGACTGAAGTGCATCTCACAGGATTCCTGCTAAAAGGCTGCAAGGAGGCCTCCAGTCTGGGGCTCCAGGTTGAATGCTTTTATTTTGAAATGCTGACTGTCTGAATTCACATTTACTCAACCCTGACTTTGGCTTTGAACTGGAGCACATGCCCTACCTGTCACCTGAAGGGTACAATTAGGGTCTGCACTTGGAGCTATGTTTTCTATCAGAGTGGAGCAGTGAATGTGAGTAGAGCCTGGGATTTGTTTGGATGAAAGAAAACGGACTACTTAAAAATCTCCCTGTTTTATCTCCTCCCATTTTCTGCCCATGACCACCCTCCATCTTCCCAACCCCCCAAATCTTCAACAACCTGGGAAGTCACAGAAATCCGCAAGAAAGAAATCAATAATCAGATCAATTCTTGCTATGGATCCAATAAAGGCTTGTGGTTGAAAACCCTCCTGTTCTTTCTGAGTCTCCTAAAATGTTCTATTGCAATCAGAGATGTTAATTGGTTGAAACTGCCTGTGGTTTTAAGAAGCGCTCCGATTACAAGGAAAAATCCTTTTATGTTGCTGGCTTCCAGCCACAGAATCTCTGAAGTTAGGAATCTGGCTGAGGTTGAGCCCCCTCCAGGGTGTAAATAAACTGGCCAGGTCTATAACCCAATAAGAAGTCAATTTATTGCATGTGTGTTTCAAGTCACCCAGCCTAAACCCTACACATTTATTCAAGTAAAGGTGTGGGTTACAGTCAGAGCCCAGACAATGGAACGTGGCATGGGAGGTGGATTATTGTCAAGTCTACACAGTCAGTGGGGGGAGAGCGAGGGGGGCCCTGCAGGGATCAAGCTTCTCTTCCTGCCCAAGTTTGCAAGGAGCTGCCTTGAATCAGGCAGTCGAGTATGACTGGCACACAAAATTGCTTACTTTGCTAGCTGGGAGGCTGAGACTCAAATGGCTTAAGTGGGTGAACGTTTTATAGCCCTGGTCTGGAGACCTGGTGACATTCTCAGCAGCACTGTGCCTACATGTGGTTGTTATCAGAACTGGGGTTTTGCTGGGCCAGATCTCACAGTGACCCATGGAGATGCTGGAACACAGTGTGGGGAGGTGGCACCTAAGCCTTGGGCGGGGAACACACAGAGCCCCTTATTTACACATGCAGAGCTGTTTCACTTACATTGCCAAATGTTGTTTGGGGTTCACCTAATCATGATCAAGACTAGAGAAAGACTCTGAGGCCCCCTCCACCCACTCCCCACCTCCCCTTCCTCCAACTCTAGCATAATTGCATCACCGAATGGTGTGTGGCAGCAGGGGAAGGGTGTGAAATGTGCTCAGCCTCCTTTGCATAGTGCTCCAGACTGCCTTGTGACAGTGAGCTATTAGTGAAACCCAGGACAGTGCGGAACAAAGCTGCTTCTTAATTGCTCGTTCTTCAGCTTTACTCCATCGGACAATACTCCCCACCAACACTTTGGAAAAATAGACTGAACCCCCCGCCCCCCATAAATTTACAGTACCCCACTTAACTTTAACATGGCAAACACAATAATGGTCTGGCGGAGAGTTTTTTGGTTTTTTTTTTCTTTCTTTTTTTTTTTTTTAGTGACTTTCCCCACTCCAGCCCCTTCATTCTCATTGGCTCCTGCAAAGTCTCAGAGAACCAATGGGATTCTTGTTCTTCATTCATGTCCTAGCAACAAGCCCAGTTCCAATCTTTCTCTGCCAAACTAACACCTGAAAAATTACATCATGAATAATGGCAAAAGCAGCAAGGGCCAGAGAAGGGCTTTTTCTAGCCACCCCCCCCCCTTCATCTGTCTGCTGCAGAGTTCATTTAAGGTGTTTTAGTCTAGATTCTTAAAGGGACAATGTCCTAGATTTTTGATAATCCTTCCCACCGGCCCCCCCCCCAGCATATTAAATAACATATAAAACATCAAACAATAGTAACTGAACATGGCAAAAGGCCTTTATGTAAAGTAAGGGGAAAAACACTTTGTTAACTGTGTTCCTGCATATTCTTTTTAACAGTCTTCCTTCAGGGAAGCCCTCAAAGTAGAGAAATAGATTGTTCATATAGTATATTTTTTGGAAAATGACTAAAATATCCCAAACCACAGCAGCTGCCCACCCACTCTCCCATGCAAAAATACAGCCCTTCCTGGTGGTTTCTCTTGCTCCAGTTAACTAGACCCAAGGCCTTTCTATTTCGGTTTTGGAATAAAGGGCCCATTCTGTCTTGGAGGCAGGGAAGGAACTGCCCTGTGAGTCTGTGAAAGGTGTGGGGTTGTCGCGGTAAGGGGCACAGGGCGCGGGTGCCCTGAGCACGTGTGTGCGCGCGCACGTGCAGGGCAGCAAAAGCAGACAGGCAGCTGGGGAAATGCAAAAACAACGAGATCCAGATGACCAGGGAGGGAGGGGGGTTGTTAGAGGAACCGGGGGAAGGAGGTGAGCCGATAGGGAGTGGGGT